AGAGTACCTGCACTGTGTGCATTTGATTCAAGGGTAGTCTATTTATTTTGTCTTGTTTATGGTCTTTTTTTCTTTAGCTGTGTAATATAGAGACACATTGCTAAGTATCTTGAATATATTGCCTGCAACCTTACACATTAATAAAACCTTACCTCTTATTCAAGAAAAATGTGAGCATCATTTGCTTTTGAAAAGGGCCTCTTGAATTTTGCAGAAGCTCTTACTGGTACTTCTAGAAGACACAAAAGTCCTAAAAAATGGTTAATTTCTTTTTAAATGTAGGACTCTTTCCCTTCTCTGTTTCAATTTCTTTTAGGACACAGCTATCCAAATTACCTCCTGAGACTTTGTTTGTACTCTACTCCATCAAAATTAAATATTTTAAATTTACTGCCCCTTTAAAATGTAGCCCTTAATGAGGTTACTCTGCTGAGGAAAGCTGTTTCCACATGATAGATATGCAGCAAATTGGCAGTGCCTTACAGAGAAGGGCTATGGGTTGCAGCTTGAGGAAGTCCATCCTGAAAATAAAACCCTGCATCTCTTTTTGCAGAAAGCCACTTCAGCTGCCAAAGTTATAATACAACTTTGTATTATAACCTCAGAAAGCTGAGGCCCAGTGTTGCTGATTTGCCTGCTTTCAAATCTGCTTCCACTATTCATGCCTCTCCCACTGTTCTTGAATCTCACAGCTTGCTGTCTTCCTCAGCTGTATGTTTCATCATAAAAAGTCATGTAGAATTATTTGGATTAAAAGTAGCTACTGCTTTTCCATATATATATATATCATTGGCTGTGGCAAGGGAATATCAACAAGAATTTGGTAAGGAATAGCTAGGATCAAGGACAAAAAAATAGATTTACAGAAAGAAGCCCTGAGATTGTACTCCCGCATATAAAGCTCCAGAGTATGAAGTATGAATTTTGACCTGAGTTGAATAACTTCAAATGGCTGCACAAGTAAACAATGAAGAAGCTATTTGTCTTTAAAAAGGAGGAGCAGGGTGCTCAGGTGAAGAAACAGAAGTGTTTGTGCCTTTTAGATAACTGCTCATTATCATTTGGAAATGGTCACCTCTGTTAAATATTTGCGCTTTAAAAAAATTAAAGAAATCTGGGTAGGCAGCCTTGGCCTTGTCAGGTCACAGGGAAAGAATATAAGTAGTTTGCTCTGGAAATAACTCTTTGATTACTGATTAGTAAGCCAGGTTGTGAGGGATGCTTAATGCAATGGAGATTGAAGGAGGAAATGTGTCCCTGGTAGTATCATAGAGGTGGCCATCTCAACCCTTTGAGAAATGTTGATAGTTTTTACAGACTTGTTTGAGATTATAAAACAAAAATTGTTAAAATAAGCAAGAGCACAGAGCAGGAAAAGAGAGAGAAACTTGCTATATTTACTGAGAAGAGCAAAGGGTAGGATTTGGGCTGCCTGAAAAGGGGAGATTGCTATATGGATATGGGTAAGAAGTTTTGGAAAATTTTAAATGGGAAATAGTTGACTTTATTAAGGGAAACAATAAATAGAGCATTTAAAAACTGTTATTCCTGGAAATATTTTCAGCAAGGCTGCAAGAAATATTTCCCAAGAAAATAATGTTTATACTGAAAACAGACTATTATATTTTTTTCAGGACATAAAAGTAGCTGAACTTGACCTGAAGGATTTAATTGATAGCTGATTTTCAGAATTACCAGTGATTGTGACATTCTTGGAGTTTGGTTTGACATACAGTTCAGCAACTGTCACTGGTTGTGAGTTTTGTTAATTGGAGATGTAATTCTGGTCTTCTACCATTTGTATTACTTTTTACTGATGTACTTGGAGGAGAGGGCACACTGAGAAAATTGTGTCTTCATTGGAAAAGAGTTAAGTTTATTCTTATCTGTTGTCTTTTGAAAAACTGGGTGGTCCTGAAGTACATTGTAGCTCTAGACAGTAGTTTGTTGTCAGATTTTAAAATACAAAAGAAATTGAGTTTTTCATTGGTTAAAGAGTAAACAGAATAGCCTGAATTAATTGGAGCTCTTTATACTTTTATTTCTTGAAATCCTAGTTGGATTATTGGGTAACCTCCTTTAAAAAAATAAATTAAAAAAGCAAGCAGAACGCCTCTCTAACAGTCATACTCTTTTTAATGAAAGTTGTGTGAGAAGTGATGCTTCTCTGACAAAGGTTTTCCTTGTGATTCCACAATAAACACTACCTAACACAATAGGAATCAAATGAAAAGCATTTTGTAGATTTATGCAAATATGAGATCTCTCTTCTCTGTTTCCTTTCATATCACTGTTGAAAGCCACAGAGGCTGTAATGCTCACTCTTTTTTTTTGAATGGCACAGTCAGCAGTCATGTTCCTCAGGGATTCTTGCTGGGAGCAGTTCTAGTCAACATTTTCGTTCAAGACCTGAAGAAAGTAGTGAACACAAGTTCACTGGCAGTGCTAAGTCCTTATGTGTAGCCAAATGCTATGCCAAGGAAAGGAATTTCAAAAGAACTCATAAAACAGAGTGGACAGGCAAATAAGGGGTAGAAGATCTTTAAATACTTCAAAATATCTGGGTAAAAGTATTCTAAACCTCCTTCACAAAATGCAGGAAAGAAAGTCCTGGAGTCATCATTGGCAGTTCTCTGAAATCATTGGCTCAGCACAAGCAATTTTCAAAAAAGCTAATGATATGTCATGATCACCACATCACCAGAAAGGGTATTGTGAATAAGACAGAGATGATGTTTTGTCACCATGCAAAACCTTAATGTGCCCATTTTTTGAATACTGGGTGAAGTTTTAGAGTCTCCAGAATGAACTAATGATTTAGATATGATACAAAGGAGAGGAATTCATGCAGCAGGGGATAGAGTAAATGCCTTAAGAAGGAAAAATTCAGAAGTCAGGGTTGCTTCAGTTTGAAGAGGAGAAGGCTGAGGCGTATATGCAATCACAGTTCACAAAATCAGAAAAACACTGAATAAGCTGGATGTGGAATTGTTCACCAAATTGTGCAATATAAGAAACAGGTGGTATTCAAAACCAGTAAATAAACATGGATACATTAGTGGCTAAATTATTTCTCTACACATCAGGTTTAAGCCTCTGGAGCTTGCTGCTCCATGGGGTTGTGAAGTGGGCACTGTCAGCTGGTTCAGAAAACGATTAGACATATTCCTGGGGAATCTGGGTACATTACCAGGACTGGGCCAGGGATAATTCTAATATTCCGTCTGATATTTCCTAGTGCAACAATTATGGATGCTGGAGAAGTATGAGGGGAAGATACTGTAGGAAGCAGTAGTCTCCTGTGTTTGCCCCAAATGCTACTCCTGGAAATAGGGCACAAGGCTGCATTGCCTTTGTTGTGATCCAGTACAGTTATTTCTTACATTCTTGTGTTTTGTCTTTAATGAAGACATTTGCCTGCAGTTTTAAATGGACCTGCAGCAAGAAGCAGATGGAGTTTGTCTGGGAGAATGGCTTCTCCTGATTGTGATCCATGGATATTACTCAGTGAAAGGAAGAGTAGACTGAGCCATTATTCTTTTGGTGTCATATGCATCATCATATACGTCTTCCAGTTTCTTTGTATCAGGTTTGTGCAATCAGTGTGATGAAATACTAAAATAGCTAAATGAGTAACATTTGAGCAGATGCACCATGACCAACCAAATTACCTGCCCCTCTTGCCAAGTAAAACACGGTAGCTTAAATTGTGATTTAGTCTGACAAATTATTTGTGGTTTAAGCCTAGAACCTCCTGATTCACACACCAATACACAGTCAGTTACTTCAATTTGGATGATGAATGCTGACTCATTAGCGTCCAGTACTGAATTTTATTCCAGCTGAAATCTCTACCCTTTGGTGTACTTCTACATATTTTGTCCCCATTTTATCAGGCTTTTTCTTCAGCATATTCAGCACTTTAGTAATATTTAGGAAAGGACCGTGTTTGAAGATGGGAAGTGAGTATGACTTGGTAGGACCAAGAACTGTGTATTCAACCCAACAAATGCTGTTTAGATCACTGGGTGTTTTGGTAACTGATGTAATGTCAAATCCACTGATCCAGTGAAACGCACGTGCAGTCTTGGCTGTGAAAGCAACATCTGACAGAGCTGAATCAATGACTGCATAGCTTTTAAAAAGGGTTCTTGTCAACACAAGTGCAACAGAGCACCATCTCCTCTCTGTCCGTGACTAGAAGAAAGAAATGAGAAACCACTTTCAACCAGATGGTGATTCCTTCTAGATGAAATAGGAGTCTTGTGCTCAGTATTTTCCGTGAAGTTCATTTTACTCCAGTATTTTGTTGCACTTCGTCTTGTGCACAGAAGATTACAGGTCAAATAAGCATGAGGGAATTAATAAAAACCCTGAATCTGTGGGAAAGGCAGAAAGAAGGGAAGAATCAACCTGAAATATTTCTAACCACTGAGCTGTAGTCTGGAGGTTGGATACTTTTACACATTGGTCACAAAAGTAGTTGAATGACTGCTAGCTAAGAAATTACTGTATTTAAAATGTGACAACAAAAGAATTGCAATTAATAATCCTAGAAGTTCTTACTTGTTAAGAAACACTTTTTATTGCCTTCTGTATGGGTTGTTATATTATATTGCAGGCATGAAGCTTTGAACATCTTTGAGACAGTTAGCATCCTCTTAAAGATTCAAATCTGCCAATATTGCAGAGAGTGAATCAAGTATTCAAGCAAAGGAGTTTACATGTGTGCTCAACTCTGCTATTGCTAAAGCATTTTCTTCCTTGTTTAGAATATGAGTGGATAGGATCAAGAACCTTCCTATACTATTTTAATATAGAGCATTCAATCCTGGCAGTGTCCAACACTTTCCATTAGCTTGTCACTTGACTTTACTGAAAAAGTAATGTACAGAAATAAATGGTTTTCTCATCTTTGATGTAATTTATTCTTACTGACTTTGAGAAAATATGCATATAAAGGAGAAAGATTTAAATAGATTCTAATGTCATACTTTCAGGTTCCTGAGCATGCAGAACTTGCCTGGATTCTTGGGTGCTTAACTAATGTGCCACGTCTGCTACGTTTGCCCCAGTGGAAGGTATGGACAGTTTGGTAAATTTAAAAGAAATTAATGGGAATTGAGTAGAAATGTTATCCTGGAAATACTTGTCATCTATGAAGTAGCAACTTTACCTTGGTTGTTCTTGCTTTAGGTTTAAGTAATTCTGTAGTCCTGTGGTGGAAGGGGTAAAACATACCTCTCCAGGTCTGTTCCTCTTAGTGAACATTTTCCTCTGGAAGCTATAGAATTGTGGTTTTGGCAGAGATTTGCAGAAAAACTGTGTTAAAAAGGAGGCTTGTTTGCTGTTATTAAACTGATTTTGCTAGAACATTCAGTGTTATTTCAGTGTTTTTTTAATAATGCAGAAGTAATGGAAGATATTGCAGTGGAAACCTTGGGCCTTGCCGATTAAGGAGTTCCATAAACAGCTTTTTATTTTCCGCTATAAAGAGTGGCTGCTCTGTAGATTTTATGGAAGAGTGTTCAAAAGAGGCATATGTTTGAAGAGGAGTATAGAAATTATAAATATTAAAAATGTGCTGAGTGATATTGTATCTTAAACGTTTGCCTTTACAAGTGTCAAATGTTCATCTTCTTAATCTTGGTGTTACATTAGCCTGACTGCATCAATAGAGTTCTTACGTTTAATTTCCTTGTATTTTATTTTGACATTTAGTAAGCAGAAAAAGACAGGAGAGAAAAGTATCTGAAAAAGGGGAAAAAAAAACCCAACAGCTTAAGAGCAGTTTGGGCTTGCAGAGTTCAGAGCAATCTTAAATACCTCCAGATGTTTTCTTTTTTCCTGTTTTCCTTCTTAATTAAATAAAACCAGTAAAACTTAAATACAGCAACCAGTGTTAATGCATGGCATAGATTAAAGCAAACCTTTTCAAACCTGAGGTTCTAAAGTTAAGCTCCTAAATCCTACTTTGACTGGATTGACTTTCCAGACCTACAGATAGGTGTTACAGGTGCTAGGCTTTGCAAATTAGGTTCCCTGAACCCTAGGCACTTAGGATGGAGACAGAATTCAGGATCTGTTGGAGAGTGTGAGACAAGTCGAAATATATTTGATCAGTCCTAATGAAATAATTCAGATTTCAAGGGGGTTAGTATATTTAAGTATTGCTAAAAGTAAAACACAGGTATGTCGTTGCTAGAACAGAATTAGTGTTTGTAGCCTGACTGTCTTGATCTAGGTGATCCATATCAGGGAGCAGTAGAGGACTTGAATGCATTGGGTAGATTGTGGGGAGCAGTGAGAACTGATGGAGACAGCACTGGACTCTGCCTCTGTAGTTCTGGCTTCTCCCAGCTGTCACTGGCTGTCCTGGTGACTGTGTGTGATCACTGGGTCTTGATCTCTAACACAGGTATTAATACCTTTTTGTATCTCCATTATGAAGTGTTTCAAAAATTTATTGCTGAAGACACTATTTAAAAAGTAGGATTTATGTGTAATATTCAAGTTTAATAACTTAGCCTTATGGTTTTGCATTTGAAATCATTTCCATTAATATCGTTACAAACAGAAAACAAAAGAAACCCTATGTTCCCTTCTCACTAGAATATCAGAACAGTGTAGAGAAATTCATAAATACAAGACATAAACCAGAATATATTCATAAGGAGTGGATTTTACATTACACTGTCTTCTGTAGAGCTACGTAATAAATTACTCAATTATTCAGAATTCTAATTAATTAAAATCATAGACCTTGATACCGTTAGTCAAAGTGTGATTGTTCTGTTTTTCTTTTCCAAACAGATGAAGCGTGCCAGCCAGAATAGCGAAGGAACTGTTGGTTTGTTGACATATCCTGTGCTTCAAGCAGCAGATATTTTGCTGTACAAGTAAGAGGCAGAATGTGAGCCCATGGGCAATGTCTGTTCAGCTACATTGGAATGAATGCCTGTCAGGTCAACATGCTAACTTTTTGAGCAGGGGAGCTGGGTGTGATTAGATCAGAAGATTGGAAATGGATGACAGACTCTCAAGAGGCTGGTTGAAATCTAGCCTGGTTAAAAAGCTACTGACAGGGCTGTAAAGAGCAAAATCTGGTCATGTGAGAATAATTCTTAGGCAATTATAACAGACTGATTTTTAATTATACATATTGCACATTCACACTGATACACTTTTTTTTAAAGTAGTTATGCTTTATTTTATGCAGTGTACTGTAGAGGTACTTAAACTATCTGTATGTAGCATACCAATATTAGTGGGGGATTCTGTGTAGGCCAGTTCATACTGATGAGAAAGAGTAACTTAGTGACTGCAGCTTGTAGTACCTGGCTAGTGCTGCAGTGGAAACAGCCCCTAGTGAGGGACTGGGCACTCAGCAAGCCTAAGCCTGTAGCCTGGCTAATAGAATTTGTAGTGCATTGTCATTACTGGTTGTATTTCATAATATGATTTAAACTGTCTCAGTAAGTAAATGTTGAAGACAGTGCACCATATATTAATTTTTTATATGTTCAGAGCATATGTACTTTGTAGCATTGTTCTGAAGGAACTTGTGAGTATTGACTGGGACAGAGAATTAACACAGAACTGAGGACAAGGATGTCAGGTCAGACTTACCAAGATTAACCAGTTGTGAATTCAGAAAAATGTATCTAGAGAAATTTCATGTTAATTGATCATAGTAGGGAACATGGGACTGTTAAAAGACCAAGAGATGGTATTTCTAATTTACCTAATTTTAACTAAAAATAACAGGAAGCAGAAAAAGGCAGAATTATTTTGAATATCATAATGATTTTATTTGAAGTGAGTCCCATTTGATTGTCAAATATTTGAGTGATTTGAGCATCAAGTATTTAAGGGTGAAATTTAGACAACATTATCAGAAATCACATTGTTTTGATTGAGCTCAACCATGTCTGTCACTTCCATCTCTAATAAGATCAGGTGTTTCATCTTTCCTTAGCAAAGCCAGTGGTTTGTTGGCTACTATCTGTATTAACAGCAGGCTGTCCACCCAGAGCACAAAACAAGGAATTGAAAGAGAAACAATATCTCTTTGAAGAAACTTGACTTAATACCTTTAATAAGAAATGTCTTAATGTAAACAAAATAATATGAGAAACAAGAATTGGTGAGAAACAGAAACACAGGAAGGGAACAGCAGTCATGAAGTAGAATTTAGAGCTGGAGGAGGGGGAGAAACAGTACTAGCTCAGATGAACCAAGGATCAAAGAGACAGGAAAATGGACAGAAGGTAAATGCACGACAGAAAGAAGTAAAAATAGCACCAGAATAGAAAAAAATTTTTAAAAGCCAGCAAGGAAAAAGGCAAGGTATCGTGCAGAGACTTTTATGGAGATAATATGTTTTCTGTTTAGTGCCAAACTTTGTGAATATGGAACCATTTTGGCATATGGAAACATTTCTTTTGACCTGCTTAAAGTATATTGATTATGGTAACTGATTTTCTCTCAGTTATAGGGCACTGTGATTTCCTATTGATTCCTACTGTAACTGTTTTTAGGTTGCCTTACTGGCTGGTTGAGAATAAAGGTGGACAAATTGATTCCTGGATGTAAGCCCAGTAATTCAGAATCGGAAGGAAAGCGTACCATGTTGATCTGAAATTTTCTGGGAACTTAAAAGATGCATGGTGAACTTCCTTATTTTGGAACATGTCCAGTATTCATAGCTGAATACCCTGTAAGCCTTAGGAAAAAAATCTGCTGGGGGATGGGAGAGTAATCAAAAGCTGGCAAGATTTCAAGTCTGCCTCATCTAAAAGAATCATACATTTTTAGCAAGTATGATTAACTGTGGGAAAGAATCACCAGGGGAAGTAATGGATTCTTCACCTCCTCATGTCCTCTGATGCAGATTGTGTTTCCCTCCAGAAGTGTATTCAAGCCATTGAGTTCAATACAGAAGATCAAATTATCCTTTGAATCCAGCAGTTTTAATCCTCTAATAACACTTGTGACAATAGAGGCACTGGACCACATGATTTATACAATTGTGATGAAGAAGAAACACTCTCTTCTTTCCTTCCCTTGATACATCCTCAGTACTAACTCCTCAGCAACAGTTATGTTTTCCTGAGACTTGACATGACAAGCTGCTTGCACTTTATGCCTTGCAGATCTTTCTTACCTTTTTTTTTTTTTTACTCTATAGCATGCACTCTTTGATCTCTGAAGAGGCAGCAGGAGATACTAAAGAAAACTTTCTTTGGGCTGAGTTTAATAAGTTGCTCTTACAGGTATCTTTGCCATATATGTCTTCACAAAGGGCTATTTTTGCCCTTGGTTATGTGCTTCAGTTCAGCACAAAAAGCAGAGTCATCCTTGAATATGTTCAGTTTGGGATCTTGCTCCCACAGCACCTTTATCTAGCTGGGACTGAGTGTTTGGTTCAGTCTGGCCCTCAGTCATGGCAGAAGCTGTTACAGTCTTGAGTAACATTTCAGCAGAACCAGAGAGCTTTGCTGAGTTTCCTGTATCTGTCTTTTATTAAAAGGTCAACACGTGTTCCTGTTGGAGAAGATCAAGTCCTGCACCTGGAACTAGCCCAAGATATAGCACAACATTTCAACAAGAAATATGGAGAATTCTTTCCTGTGCCCAAAGCCATTTTAAGTGAGTTGGTTATTTTTTTCCCTTAACTGTGCTTCGAAGTTGAAGATAGATTTAAACATTGTGGAAATAGTTTCAGGGACCAAGAAAAGGGGGCAAACTGATATTAAGGGAGTGGAAAATTAAAACCTGGCAAAAAGAGCCTAGAGGCTGTGAAAATGAGCTCCCAAGATAGATATAAGGCTTTAGAAATCCATGGTTGAGGAATGTACGTGACATCTGGTATTCTAGTCCAGCGGGCCAGATGCACTCTGCTGCCAGTCAGCCTTCCTCTTCAAGCACAGGACTTTTTAAGAGTAGGGTCTCTATTCCATGTTTCTCATTCAGGAGACATGGCAAGGCAAGAGACCTCTAGCAAGCAGAATTCTTCACTGACCAAGTCAGAGATGTTTACTTTAGGGATGCTGAACAGCCTGTTGGTTTATATGTACAGTGCTCCAATTTTTTTTAAGGGTGTTTAATATATGCTTGAGTATTTCAATATGTGTCTGTCACAGAGCTTAAGACTTAAGGTTTTTGATCTTAGTCTCAGGAAGACTTACAAGGAAAATCTTCTCAGCCATTTTTGAGCTGTAAGGTCATAGGCCGGGGGGTGAGGAGGAGTCAGATGGCGCAAATGGCATGTTTGCTAAGAAACGTGAAGAATTGGGCAAGGATGAAGCGTTGCATCTTTGTTGTAAGTAATGTAGAGGAATGCACAGCAGAGACCTTCGCCCCCAAAAGGGCAAGGAGCTCTCACCTTAGAAAAGACAGGCAGCAATAAACCTTTCTCAATTTTCAAGTCTCAGTGACAAAAATGGTGTTAGACCTGGAGTGGTGTTTTGAGAATATTAGGGATTGCAAACGCTACAGTTTCTAATGGAGTACTAAGCACTATAAAGAGGAGCTGAGTGTAGCCTCTGATGCAGGTGAGGCTATTTACCATTTAATAATAAGCTCAATTTGGGAAAAAAAAAAAAGGAAAAAACTTTTCATTTTGCTCCCAAAAAGCATTCCTTCTTAAGTTCACAAGTATATGCAAACCAACAAAACATCCTAGATGAATGGAGAAGGTAGGGGACCTATTCAGACTGACTAGCTGTAGACAATTGAATTACCTGGACTCTTTCAAATTTGCAGAAGAGACCTTCCAAAAGGTGATTTCAGAACAAAGCACTTTCTAGGGCAATCTGAATTGTATGCTGGAAGAACCCTTATTCTTTCACTGAGTACATAGGCCATCTATGAGCAGTATGCAGGTAATTTTGTTGGCTGTATTACGTGTCTAAAAACAGCTGGTATGAGTACTCCGTAGATAAGTGATACTTTAGGTACTCCATGAATAATATTTCTTGGTGAAAAACTGAAGCAGTGTGGATTGATGCTGTTAAAGTACTTTGCAATATTCTCCTAATGCCACTTATCTGTTTCATGTACATGCGTGTATCTTAGCAGTTTGTACAACACCCACACCTTTCTTATCTAAACAGTGCTTTACATCTAAGAGAGCTGGTCAGTGTTGAGTTAGAGAATTTTAAAAACTGTTTTTACTGAGATTTAGGAGAATTTCCAAGAGATTTTGAGTGGAAGAGTTTCCTGAAATAAGGAGTTTAACTGTTATGGGATTCTTTTTTTTTTATCAGTGGAGTTGACCTGTTTCTCCACCGCTCAGAACCATTCAGTAAGGTGCAGTAATGGAAGGGGGGGGAAATCTGGGGGGAAATCAGCATGTAAGCCACATAAAATATTAGAAGTAGCCCCAGCAGAAGTTCCTCCTTAGGGAGGATGTGAGAGATGGAATGGGCTTCATTCAGTTTATGAGAGGAGAAAGGTGGCTTCTTAGAAGGACAGGAAGGATGCAAGGACTAAACAGAGCATACATGATTGTGCTCGCAGCTCATTTTTGAGCAAGGATAAACAGCTTCATCATATAGCTGCACACTGTTCCTAGCAATTGTCATAAGAAACCGTTGTCTGTGCTCATAACTTTTTTTTTTAAAGGTACAACAAAGAAAATAAAATCCCTCAGAGATCCATCGGCAAAGATGTCCAAGTCAGACCCACAGAAGTTAGCCACTGTTACCATAGCAGACAGCCCAGATGAAATAGTGCTGAAGTTTCGCAAAGCTGTGACTGACTTTACCTCGGAGGTGACCTACGAGCCCGCCGCCCGCCCCGGTGTCTCCAACCTGGTGTCCATCCACGCTGCAGTGGCGGGGCTGAGCATCAAAGAGGTGCTGCACCAAGCCGCTGGTCTCGACACTGCTCACTACAAAATGGTGGTAGCAGAGGCTGTTATCCAAAAATTTGCACCTATCAGGAATGAAATCAAGAAACTCCAGGAAGACAAGTCTCATCTGATAAAGGTTTTAGAGGATGGAGCAGAGAAAGCCAAAGAACTGGCTGCTCCTATCTATCAAGAAATAAGGAGACTGGTGGGATTTCAATAGAAGCTGCTGAGTAGTTGCAAGGACTTTTGTATCATGGGACAGAGATTTTGTTATTTGTAACAAAATCATTTATTAATTATTAATCATTTTGGTTTGAAACAAAAACTTTTTTTTCCTGGAAGATCCAAGGTGAAGGCGATTGCATTAAAAAATGTGCATGAAGCCAGGTATTTCCTGTGGGACCAGCATTAAGCTTGTCTGGCTAGTCAAAGAGGGAGGACAGAAGCAATCATAATTCACAAAGAAATTGTGCAAAAGCAGATTATAAGGTTGCCTGTGTGGGTTTTTGGATTTTTCCACTGACCACTGCAGGAAGCTGAAGTATAGGTAAGGTGATCAGAATCTAGCAGAAGGCTTTGTAATCCCCTCAAGAACATACTTAGCTGTGTATATGCTGTTGTTACAGATGGACAGTTAATCCTACTGGGAGTTATTCAGCTTTGTTATGGTGATTGAACATGTTCTTGGATAACCAGAATAAAAGCAGAGACTTAAAAATAAATGCTCAGGATGATGACAAGGGAACTTACTGCTTCTCCCTATAGTTTCTTCAAATTCAGCGTGAGTTTTTTTTTGATGTAGTTTGTTTGAAATGAATTTCACTTCTGCCATTTGTGCCATTCTGCTGGTCAAGTCTAAGGTACTTCAGTGAGAAATGACATGTGCTTCAGCTGCCCCTGTTTCACCTGCTGCTCTGTTTAACAGGCAGCTCCAGGATTTTCAGTTCAGCATCAAGTGTAGAACTGCTAAAAAAAAAAGGTGTAGAAGAGAAGATATAATCCTGAATCAAAGAAATCTTGAGTTGAGAATCAGAGAACTCTCTGTAAAAGTTTACAAAATTGCTTCTTTAGAAAACTGTGCTAAGGTCAGAGCCAGAATAGAGTTAAATAGATATTTACAGATTCTTCACTACTGAGCCTTGAGAAACTGTAGTAATGGGAGAGCAATATTAGCCTGCCCTGATCTTGGGCTTCCCAAGGTCCACAGACTTGGACCCATGGATTGTGGCACCTGTTGGGGAACGTGTGGCAAAGGGGAATTGCCAAAAGGAGACACCATGTTCTGAAGAGGGGTAGTAGTACATGTTAAAAGGTAATGAAAGCCCTACTGATCCTGTGCCAGCGTATTTAGCTGTGTCGTTACACTTCATGGTGCTGTATATGAAATTGCTGTACTGTAAACTGAGTTAATCCTGTGCTCTGGCAGCTCATAACCACGCTATGCCTGTGGCATTGGTCATGAAGGATCGCAGTCTTACATGACTGAGTTAGTAAAATGTGGGGAGGGGGTTCTACATAGTGCAGTTGGTTGGTTGGTTGTTTTGGGGTTTTTTAAAAAGCAGTATTTAGTTAATTATAGGGAGTTAATTCAGAAAAAAATATTTAATTTTCCAAAACATAAAGCTGAGGACTGAGCGTCGCCAGATCTGTGCTGAGACCTGTATTTATTTGTTAGGGATCTGAAGAAGAGAACTGCCATGCAAGAGCTTGATGATGACAGATTTTCTAAAATTAGTCAAGACTAGAGAAGCAGAGTGGATGGAGACAGACTGATTGGAACCAAACTCAGTGTAGACAAGCCTAAGGTAATGTCCTCTGGAAAGAATAAGTATACTCAAAAATTGTCCCTGGTTTTAAATAAGCTGTAGTGGATAAGGAAAGAACATGTTATAACTGTACATATTTACGTAGTTTTACAAAGCTTTTGTCAGTGTTGTCAGCTGCATTTGAGCACTAAGATGAAAAATTAAGGCACACAATTACTGCTGCTTCCTGACTTAGCATATAATGTTTGCTGTGGCACTTTTTAATATAGATTGATTTCTGCAAAGGTCCCACAGTATGTACCTTGAGAAAAGCTAACACTGTCCTCATGAAGACTCTGAAAATATTTAATACTTGCTTATCTAGTTTCTACCTCTACCTCTTTTTCACTAGCAAAGATAGAAGCATATATTCAAAAGATGACTCAGAGTTTCAAGGTCTCTTTACACTTCTGATACTCAAATCACCTAATATATAGAGTTGCCATTCAACACACCTTCTCTGCAGTGGAAGGAAAATAGGAGCACTCATGGGAGGGGTTGACACCAACAGGTAATTTTGGTTTGTTACTTAAACTGTTCTGAGCAATCTTTCCAAAACTGTTAGATTCTTTTTCAGAAAATCATGTAAGTAAAGCAAGAAAAAAAACTTCAATAGAGCCTTTTCTTGGAGGTGAGGATTTAAAGCATTACATATTTAGCCGTGTTTCAAGCAAATTCACTAATTTGCCTCTTTTTAATTCAATAATACATTGGGGGTTTTTCCTTCCCTTTCCCCTATCAGTCAAACAAGTCTTATTTGCCTGACCTATTTCCTACCAGTAAGGAAATCTACATATTTTTTCATCTTCAGAAAAGTTAAACTTGTGTAAAGTGAGTATATTAACCTTCTGATGGTTGACTAAGCTTTTCATTTAGTTGCTCCTGTGGAGGAATTCTCAACATACGTTTGCCCAGTGAAATAATCTCGATTCCATTAACAACCATGATCTTTAGAATCCCTTGAGAGAAGACAACAAATGTAGATGTTTGCAGGTATCTGTTGCCTATTTAAGTTTTCTTAGAGCATGTTTTTTTCTGCAAAATTAACCATCTTGGCACTCAGGTGGTTTAGCTGAGCTTGAAGCAAAGAGTTGATTCCAAGCGACTCTCTCCTACCTCCCTATCTCCCTTTGGGAATGTCTTAGTAAACACCCATTCTGTATAGGATTCTGTGGCAATGTTTACTAAGGAGTGCAGTTGAGTTGGAATAGCTGTTTAGGGAAAAAATTTTGGAGAAGACTTGATGCTTTATGTTTCATATTATTTGTTTCACAAAAATTTGTTTCACATAGTTTTTTGTTTCACACAAACTCTAGTGCTGGGGATTTAATGTTTGTTTGCAACAAAATAGGTGCACTCCTGAAACACATTTTCATCTTTGTTTTTATCCGAATCACATTCTCTAAGACTTCTCTGTGATGTCAGCTGAAGTGCAGTTGGTGGGGACTTTCTGCAGAAGCACACTTCTGATCCCAGCTGCAGAGTGGTAGAGACATGCCCTGTGTTGTTGTGGAAGTCACTGTAAGGTGTTCTTCAGGACAGAGTGAGAAAAAGGTCCAAATATATCTTTCCTAATTGAAGTAAAAAGAGTCAAAAGGTGGAGAGGTATCCTTACCCTGTGCTGTGTTGCTCATTGAAGAAAAGGAAGCAGAAACAATGATCCTTTATTTAGAAGGCATCAGTAATTTGTGCCTTAGACTCAAAATCTCCTCTTTTGCATTCCTGTATGTTTGTGCTCCTGGCCCACTGCAGATCCCAACCACTACATATGTGTCAGACATAGCATCTCCTGGTAAGATTCACTCACCTTTAGAGGTAAAACATCAACTCCACAGTGAATTACTTGCAAAAATCTAACAAAAACATTTATACACTTGAGACTTCATTTTTCCAGCTGGTTGTTCCTAGGAAGTCATGATATCACATAGTGAGTCTCAGCTCTGTGCTTTCAGTTTAGAGCACAGGGTTTACTGAGAATTTTAGATTCAGGAACAATGTTTTCTGCAGCAGAGATTCCAAATGATGGTTGGCCCCATAAATTAACTCTGGGACTGCTCCAGCATACGTCCCTGCCTCAAATAGCTGGAGTGCCTGGATATTGTACATTATACTGGAATTTAATTGTAACTCTTAAAGATGATACTTAGTTTTCAAACACCATGACCTGGCTTCTCAGATTCCCCAGAAGGCTTTCTGCATAGTTCTGATTCGGTGTGTGTTTATCTACAACCAGTTCAAGCAGAGCTCCTTTGCAGGATTATGGCTGCATCCATTAAAGGCTAGAGAATTCATCAAAATGAGCTGAAAGTCTAAGAAAGGACAGTGAAATGGGATCCTTGGGGACTGACCTGCATCTAAATGTTTTGGGAACTGTAGGTTTAGCAAAGCAAATGTTTTCTTATCCTTGGTTAGGCCATTATGATCCTGCCAACAGTGTAGCAGTAAATACTGATGATGAAAGTGTGTTCTTTCAGCAGTCCAGCTTGGTTAGATTTACGTTCAGTACAAGGGATGGATCTTTCACCATTTTGATCTATGCATTTAAGCTTCTGGATGCTGCCTACCTTTTTTTTTTTTTTATGACTGGTGGACTGCTGTACAGAGAAATAGTCTAGCAAGTTGGTGGAGGAAACCTAGTGGAAAAGGGGTTTTGTTCAGGAAATATATTGTCTGTTCTTGACAGGAAAACAAAACCCCTCTTTCTGCTGTGTTGGACTGTCTAATTTCCTTTTAATTATTTGATCTGTTCATTCTTTCTAGGTAAATTTGACAGTAGCTGCAAGAAGAATGTCAATGTATTGTGTAGTCAAAAACCTTGGAAGGACCCATACATCTCTCATCTTTTCTAAAGTCTCTTAAATAGTGGGGCTTTACTGTTAGCATCAGCCAGTTTTGGGAAAAATGCTGCAGCAAAACTGTAGTCATATGTGACATTAATTTATGTGCTTAAAGCTTTGGTGTTTTGGTTTGGATTTTTTTTTTTTTGCTCTCTCAGCTGTGACAGAAGACTTACTAAATATTGAATTCCCAATGAAGCTTTTTATCACACAGTCCTGTCCAGATGACAGCTGAAGTAATGGAAAATTCTCTTTATTATCACAAAATATCCTGCTCTGATTCTCACTGTCTTTACTGTTATTCTGTTGGCTGTACTAATGGTCATATTGTGGAAAGATTGACATGTAAGTATTTATTGTGTGTCAATAAGAAATCATTTTACCTGCAACAATCCCATATTGTTATGGAAATGGAAGATTCACTGATCATTTCACCTGTAGGCAGCTGCCTTGGTGTCACAATTATTTTATATAAAACCAAATGCCAACCTCCTGCACAGGTAAAGTAAACAGTTTAACACCTGGGAAGATGTTCTACCACTGTTGTAAATTGCTGTCACAGAACACCATGACTGAAGATGAGATTATCCACTGCAGGAGTGGGCTCGTGCTGCCTGTGGACATAAAATTAAGCACTGAGCTTAACGTCTGTTGTGCTGTTGTGCTCTCAGCATTCCAGCATGGCTGTGAGACGGGAGCAGAGCAAATCTGTGCCACACCAGAAGGCTCAATCAGTTCCAGATGTGCTGCATTTGCTGTATGTGCAAGATGAAATGTCAAGACAAGAGTTGCAGAACAAAAATCCTTAAAAGTTATTAAATGTTTGGAAGTAACAGCATGCTTGTAAAGCTTGGCTTATAAAGCCTGTGATAGCATGGTCTTAGCCTCACTCAGAGAGCTGACAGGAGCAGTCACACAGCTGAGTTTGATGGTGGCATAAGGTAAGCCATCTGCTTCCTCAGTACAATAATGTAAAGACAGTATGAGTCTAATTTGAGGGGTTACTGGATTAACCCTCACAGGTGGGAAATAATAGCTTATGGCAGAGCAAGGTAGTACCACATCTCTCTTGTGTCCTGAACCATTCTGA